GTCCCTAATTCTAAACTTTGCCTGGCTTCTGTTTCCAGCCATCAATTCTTCTTACACCTTTTGCCTTAAACTGTAGTATTTTAGCATCTGATATATACCGACATAGACAATATTGATCTGTTTTTGATAAATTTAAGAGATTGAGCATGTTTAAGTCATGCACAGATAGATATTTTATTTTAAATTACTTTTGTAGTTGTTTGTTCTTCATTTTCCCAACTTTTTAATATGGCAATTATTAAGAGCAATTAATTAATGTGGCAATTAATAATACAATATTTCGCTATGGGGTCTCACTGGTACTCCTTCCAGTGTACTGTTTTCATTCTGACTGTTTAAGTCAGTACAGTGAGAAGCTTTTTTTTCACATGAAGTTTTCTCTCAGCTATCTATAGTAGACAGCTGACTCAAGAGTGGTGTAAGTGAAAATTCTGAATCCGTCTCTTGGGAACAGTTGTTTTGTCTGTGAAAGATAAAATAATTCATTCAACTTTGAACAATGTTGGACTTTTTTAAGGTAGATATTAAAAATCCTCGGAAAAATAGGATTATTTAAAATTGATTAATGGATTTTTTTTTTTAAGAGAAAGGTGCGAGAGACCTGAACATTAAGTTCTTCCAGAATTTGTTTTAGTTGGGTCAGATTTGTCACCAGTAAAAAGAAAAACAAAGTTTTGTCTCCCAGGAGATGTGGATATGATAGACTAAATGTCATAATGATGTGAACAAATGAGATGTAACATGCACTGAAAATATATGTTTTCCATTAAATTTCCACAAAAATGATTGAAAATGTCTTGGGAATTATTTAAGCAATTTACAATATTGTTTAAAAAGGTACATCTGGGCACACTGAGTACGGTCTTTTGTCGTTCATTAGCAATGTATTTAATGAGGGTTTTTTAAGTGATAGATAGTTAAGGTAACAGACAAGTGACAGATTGTTTGTCTTTAACGATTTCCCTATTTCAGGCCCATTACAAAGCAATTAGAAATCTGACAGCATTTTTACTCTGCATTACTGATCATCTAAAGTGATGAGAAATGAGAGGTGATGAATATTAATTGTATATTTTCATATAATTATCATAAATTATTACCTTGTCTAGTGTGCTGCAGGTGGAGTAAAATCAATGGATGAAAATTCAGTCAAATATGATAATTTGAAAGATTTCATGACTTAGTTTTTGTCTTTAAAGTGCAGTGTCAATCAGTCTAAACCAGGCATACATTAACCGAGGGAAAGACAGAGATACTCACACCTTTCCTCGCTTTGCTAACACTGATCAGCGTGGCATTTACTCTTGTGCCCTGTGACAATTTATTTCTCTCTTTTGTAGCCTGCCACATTTACACTGGAGTTATATCTATTCCTGTCCAATGTTTTTCCATAAATATTTATTTAATGTTTGAGCATTAAAACAGTATTAAAAGCCATGCACTTGGCTGAACAGAGAACCAGCTATTCTCATCTTTTTTCACCCACTTGGTGGACATGCATTGTAACCTAGCCCTTCTTTGCATTGTGCTTCTATTCTCAGAGGACCTCAGCCTCTACCAAAAATGAGGAGTGTTCATATGACCTGTTTGTTTAAAGTATGGGCCTTTATTAGGTTACAGAATCTTACTTGATTCCATACTTTAATTAATAATTTTCATGACACTCATATCATTGGTCTTGAAAGTTCAAGGGATCTCGTCAGTTCCTTTTCAGACAAGGAGAAAGGAGCCACAAAGATTGAAGTGTCAAAGTAAAAGTGAATTTTGGTGTCCTGTTTTGGAATATGAAACTCCTGTAATTTACAGTACTTACCTTTATAACGCATCTCCTATGTTCAGAGCAAACTTCATTTACAGTTAGTGGAAAAACTACAAAAACAGATCACAGATGCTCCAATTCAGGTATCTAGAAAACGTGGCTAGTGTTTGTGTTTTTCCTGGGAAATTGTGGTTGATATGACTTATTCGATATCACTTTAGAATTTTAAGACAAAGACAAGAATGGTATCCAATTTGTCTGGGCAGCAGACCTTACCCATAAGACAGTTCCTTCTTTTCCTGCATTTCCCTGCACATTTCTGGCTCAGTGAAGTGAGTGAATTGGAGGAATCATAAAAACAAATTATGTGTCACTAAGTCTATCAGAATCCATGTATTTAAAGTCAAAAACTGCATGTGCAAATTTATATTTTTATCTTGATTTTAAATGTTTGACTTTTCAAACTTGATAATTTAAACAAACTGCATTTGAAAAATCACATTATTAACATGATATTTTAGCTTCAAAATTGCTAAGTAAGAAAGAACGGAGAATGGAGTGTTTTCTCATAGGGGCAAACCTCACAACAAGCTACTGTCTGAATTTGGTTTCTTCTGTGAGGATTAAAAGCAGCCAAGCAGGGTTAAACGCATACGTAGCCTTCTACGTCTGGTAGTGGCCGGTGATGGAACGAAAAGCGGACAAGAAACAGCACTAGTGTAGAGGAATCCTTCAGGTGTTAAATCCTCTGAGTTGTGAATTTTTCCTATACGTATTAAATTATTCCCTGTGTCAACAACAGGTAGTTACTAGCACGCTGTTGTTTGAAATTAAGGGTCTCATTCCTCAATAAACTAACATTACTTGGTTAGGCTTTGTCAGTGTGGTGTATTCTAATCCTCGTCATACTGGGATTTCCTTTGAGACACTGTCATACTGCAAAAGGCCTCATTGCCACACTGATTGCCTGTGAATGAAAAAGGTAGTGTGAGGAGGCTAGTACCAGCATGTCCCTGCTGCTGAGGCCTCACAGTCATTTTAATGAGTCTTATCTATGCTGTCTGGAGTCGAGGTCCAACTCTGTTTAAATTACACATACTTAAAAATCAACTTGTTTTTTTTTCCCAGTTGTATGCCAGTACTTTATGTAGTAACTGTTTTCATATGATGTAATTTCAATCCCAGTTTTGTCATGTAGGCTCAGTAGAATTAATGAAGAATTGCATTATGCTCTGTGAGATTATACGAAAGGAGTACTTCTCGGTGATACACATTGTTCTCAATATCAGTATGGAAGTGGGAGAAGAGAGGAGAGGAGAGGAGTGCCGTTTTATGGCTTTCCTTTTTCATATCTGTCATAGAACACAGAACAGTTTTAATACCCATCCACTCTCTCTGTATTAAAATTCTCATTATGCCTGGTTTGCAGGTGGATTTTTCAAACAAAAGACCCTCTTTTCTCCTTGTCCCTCTTGTATGTATGTTCACATTCTGCATAGTCACATGCTGCTAACCATGTATATAAAGCCACATGTTATGTCATATTTCTACTTTTTAAAATTCCTGTAATGAAAGGACTGAATAAGACCCTTTTTGTTGATATACCTTGATTTTATTCTGATACACTTAAACCAAATATTCAGATGTTTAAGAGCCCTTGCCAGGAACAGGCGTGTTTAATGTCACATTGGTTACTTGCTAATGCAAACTGCAATATACACAAAGGCAATGGAGCAACAACTGTGCTGTCTATAAAGCTTGCAAATGTGACAGATCGACAGTATTTCACAGTTTATGTTAAAACTTCTTGAGAAGGGTAATTATAAATTGAAATATTTAGTTCTGGTATTTAGATTATTCATTTTATTTTAATTGGCTTTTTCTGAGATAATCTGATAGGTTTCCACGTTTGTTGAAGAAAAGCACTGAGGTAATTGGCTTTTTGCTTATTTTCTTTAGAGATATAGGTTATAATTTATCATACTTTTGATTAAGATTTTTCCATTATGTGGATTCTTTTAAAGGATTCCAAGTGTGGTGACAAGTAGTAAAATGCCTTTTAGTGTTACAGGAAAGAATATAGTTGCTGTACCTCCAATACCGTTTCATTATATATTCCTATATTACATAGATTTTTCCATCTTAGCTTAAGCAAAACTCCTGTTGTCTCTTCAGTTTGAACTGAAAGGTGTAGTTTGATGATACAGCTATGCTGATCTAAGGATCAGTTGCCACTGAAAGTGGTAAAATTCTTCTGCCATTCCTTTTTCACCTACTTCATCATGTACTCTTGTTACTCTTGCGTCAGCATTGCCATTCGTGTGACCACACAGTGAAATAATTCATGGAGATAAATGAGCAAAAAACTAATTCTGTCAAAAATTTTAGAATTTTCTTTTGATTTAGCTCCATTTAACAGATTTGTCATGTGTCAGTGACAGCACAGAGAAGGTGGCTGGAGAACTTGTCGAGGACAAGGGGAAGAGATGGAAAAGGGGAGCAAGTCTTCCCATTTTGATGTCACCTAGCCATTAGATCATATTACTTCATCATCAAATTGCATTCTGAGTTGGACTAAGTAAAATTTATAACAGTAAGCACATGGTACATAAAGCTGTTTCGAGATTACACATATCACCAATGAACATTTGAAGGTTAAGATATGTGAAAGGGGAATAGGACTCAGTCACAGAAGATCAATCCAGTCAAACGGAAGTAAATGTTACTGAATAAAATTTGCATTTCTTTCTGATTTTTGTAACTGGTACCAAGATTCATCTAGTTTAACATTAAAATTATGTTTCAGCAATATAGTTGGCTTTTTTTAGCTCATAGAATTACTCGGTTCTACTTTATTACCTTATTGTTACCTTACTGTTGATTTCGGGGGGCGGATAGTTGTCCGTTGATATATCAGGCAAGTTCAGGGCCCGTTGTACTAAACTCTATCCAGACATTTCATTTAAAAAAATCCTATCAACAAGAAAATAACTAAATCTATTTAACAAAAGATCTAGAAGAAAGAGTAATTCGAGAAATTTGGAGGGCAGTGAAACAGCAACCTGTTTTGCGTAACTAGTCAAATGGATCAGTTTGTACATTAAAAGGTTTTGTAGCTGTTTTCGATGAATGGAATGTTTAAAATTGGTCATGGTGATTTATACAACGTGGTGGTATGTCTGCATTTTGTGGACTGTGAAAATAATAATATATACTTCAAACGCAAACATTTGTTTAAGAAATGGACAACAGGTCTTCAGTCCTGCAGAGAAGCATATATACTTCTGTTTGCACTGAAGCAATGGACACGTTGACGTGCTGTATATTGAACAACTATGCAAGTATTTGCAGGAATTGGCTCTTAAACTGTAAAGACCAGCTTCAGATTTGCTTTAGCGTTTACTGCTACTTTTGGTTTGACTGGTAACTGTGATTGCTAAGCTGTTATAGGTATCAACCCATAAATGCTTGTGTCTGAAAAATAGTACAGCTGACTGTGTAAGTTGTACATTGTTTCTTTTAACTAAAATAAAACATGTATTCAAACGTTGATCTTCATGCAATATTAAAGCAAGCACTCACTTTCAAGAGTTTACTTCGTAAGATTTGTCAGCAAAGCTTTTACAGTAACACCATGAAAGTTTCCTTCTCACAAGGAACTTGCTCATCAGATGGCAGATCTCATGCACAAAAGAATATAATTTAAGGGTTTCTCAACTGACCAGTCTGTGTCAAGCAATTGTAAGTAAAATATTAGACTGTATATATGTTCAAAAGCCAGTGATCTATTTTAGGGTTATGTAAATTCTGACCTGGATTCAGGTCATGTTATCTGAAGGTCTATCACATACTTGTTTTCCCCTAAAATAAAAAATGGAACCCTTTCTGTTAAAAGGAATAAAACAATTACAAAGCTCCTGAGTTCTTGGTGATGTCTTTGTAGAAACAACTTCCGAAACACAGTAGTTGTTCCATTTTAATAGGGGTAGAGGAGATACGGGGCAGGAGGGAGAAGACAAGAAGAGAAGAGATGTTTTTATTGAAAATCTCTATGACTTGATTTCAGGTGTTTCTGATTTGGTTGTATATAATCAGATTAGTCTAAGTCCACAGAGAATGTCTCTTTTTCTTTTTATAGCCTCCAATTTTCCCTTTCAATTCCAAATATTTGCTTGCTATGCCGGAAAGGAGAAAAAAAGTGCAAAGTATACATGCACCCAAATGAAACTGTGTCTGAACCTCACCATGTTCTCAAAAGCTGTAGAGAAAATTATGATGCAATATAGGTTCAATTTTCTAATAGTGATTTAATCATGAATCTTAACAACTAACAAAAAGCTTATGCTTTCATTTTAGTTACAATCTTTTGTACTTCTAAACAGGAAGTGGCAAACAACAGAAGTCTAGTAAATGCTCAGGAAAAATGCCATATGGCATGTGCATCATCACAAAAATACGATCAGCTCTAAACTTTGCAAATGTCTTCATGCCACATGGATGCACAACCTACACTAGCAAAAAATGTGGGAGTAAAGCCATGGCCACTTTTCACTCATGTCGTTTGTCAAAGATGCTTAATTTGCTGCTATGTGATAAAATTGTAAAAATAAAAAAATATAATTGAGTAAATATTTTGTTAGCATCAGTCTCAGACTAAAGATGAAGTAAAACAGTTAAAATATTATTATATTTTCCTTATATAGTATACTCTCAGATTCACTCAAGTAAGGGAAAAAGTATCTCAAAACCCTACAGATATGTTGATTTTCAACTTTCGTCTTTATTTAAAATTTTAGTTCTTTTTAGTTCTTTCAGTGTTTGTGAATCCTTTATTCTTGGATCCATCCACAGCTGACTTAGTGGTCCTGGAATCTGTAAATTATTTTCTTTGTCTTCTCGCATATCCTCAGCTCTTTAGAGACCCGTTCTTCTTCTTTGGTCAGATGGCAAACTGGAACGCTGAGTCATGGTGTTAATAATTGATTTCAGTCAGCAGAGTTGAAGACATTTTTGTAGCAAAGAAAGTGTAAGAATGATTAGAAATGACAAGATACTGCATGTATTTATTGAAGGAAAGAGATCCCATTGTGTCCTGAAAGCCCTTGCCAGAGCGCGGTGGGGCCCGCTGCTCCCTGTGGGTCAGGGAGCCAGGTCCGGGCCTGCCAGGCCGCGGGCAGGAGCTTTGCCAGGCAAGGCCCAGCTGGGGTGGCAGCCAGGACAGCCAGAGCCCCGGTCACCAGGCAAGCCTGGGGTGACGAGGCGGGGGCCGAGGTCGAGGCAGGCACACAAGTCAGTGAGCCAGGGTCAGGATCAGGTCTGGTGACAGGGTCGGACACAGGCGGTGGTCGCCAGGCCAAGCCAAGAAGTCAGGCTGCGGCTGGGGCCTGGGTGCAGATCAGCAGGGCCTGTGGTCGGGCACAGGTGGGAGCATGGCTGCCGGGCGGGTGGGGCTGCCCCTCAGGCAAGGCTGAGCGCTAGAGCTTCGGCTTAAATGCAGCTCCCACAGAAGGGGGCCAGCCTTGGCTGAGGCTGCCCTGCAGAGCTGTCTGGCAGCTCCCTATGGTCACCAGAGGGAAGGAGGAGCAGCCCTCATCTGCGCCATCTCTAAGCTGGCCTTGAGCCCAGCGGTCAAATCCCCAGGAGGGGGATGCAATCAGGGCCCTTACAGCCGTTTAAGATCCCAAGGTGCTGCTTTTCTCTTCTTCGCAGAGGAGCACGGGAGCAGGTGGTAGCCACTTTAACTGGGCAACTATAAGTAACACTTAAGTTTCAAACTTTTACAGGTTTTTATTTAACTTGTTATCTATCTAACTAGTAAAACTGTGCTATCATGACTCAGTTATCAGTTTCTTTGTGAGCACTTATTTTGGTCAAAGAAATGTATGTTCTCATTTTTCACACTGATTTCCATAGTGTGGCAGTTTCATTCCCCAGGCATTGAGTAGGTTTTGTCCATGGCAGGCACTGAAAGAAAATCCCATTCCTCTAGCACTTGGGGTGAGACAGAAGAGGTGTTATTGGGTGCTGTCTGGTTTGTTGGCTAAGTAAGATGAGAAAGTAAATGCTGTCAGATTATTGTGCTATCCGAAAAGGATTGTTTAAATGTTTTCTTCTGCATTAGGCACCAGTTGCCTAACTGAGCAGTATAGTTTTTTTTCTTCGCTTTGGGGTAGTGATGAAAAATCTTTCATGGCCAGAGGTCTGTGGGTTGCCAGGGTAGGGGGAAGTGACAGAGAAAGGAGAAGCAGTTTCTTTCTATTCATCGACTGAGAGATCCAGGATAAAATTTTCATTCAAGCCTTTGGCAAAATTCCCAACAATTTTAGTGGGACATGAGTTTCACACACAGCCTGTACTTATTAGTTTAGTTTATTACTTAGGGTGTACTCATTTAGAATGGATTGTAGTTTTGTGATAGACTGTAATTTGGAAGAGCATTAGAAGAAAAGGAGAAGATTTGTCTTTCTTAATAAGAGGAAAATGAGCATTGCTTTTTCTTTCCAATTGCTGAGAGCTGAGAACAGTTTAGTTTACTTGGCAGGTGTGAGGTTTGCAGCATTATCTGTTGAAGAAGGTCCTTCCCAAAGTGATACAGATTATGTGTAAAGCTGCCCTTTGTTAGGTGAGTTATCGTGAAGGCAGCTTACTAAACTATTAGGCTTTGGTTTTTATCATGTAAATAATGTATACTGTGGGTTTCCTCCGTAATAAAATTAAACTTAGAATTTTCACTAGTCGTGATGATGTTAATGCAGGCCTATACCAGAAAATGTTTCAGGGCCATAATACATGAAACATCATGTTCTCATCTATCAATATGAAGATGTATTAATATGGTTATCTGGAGCATACATGCATGTAGTGCAGCAATAACATAAGTGCAAACAGATATGAAACATGTATGATGGCTGGAGAAAAATACTTTAACAATGCAAACAAATAGTGAATAAATATAAGATTAGCCTAACCCCTCCATTGTGGTTAAGATCTGATATTGCTGTTATTTTAGTTTTTAAGACCTTTGGTAGATAAATAAAATGCCTTCACCATGCAGTTAATGCTTTTCTTGAGAAAGCCAACATGAAGGGCAAGTACAAAAATAAAAATAATAAGGTAAATTTAAATATGTAAATTTATATAGGAGAATATTAAAATAAATCACTATATCTTTTGAACAACTACTGAAAAAAAATAAAACAAAGGATACATGCTTGTCAAATATGCAGTATAAATAAATAATTTAGGTGAAAATGGATGACTAGATATAACAAAGAGACGACCAAATAATGAAGGGCTAAAGGGTGGTTGTTACATCTGATGTACTTCATTGTATATTGTAAGTAATTGCTATCCATAAAAAATTCCATGGCTTCTGTATAAGAAAAAGACAATTTGACAGGCAACACTAGTAGGAAGCGACAGCAAGTACAAATCCTTGGCAACTGTCATTATCCTGCTGTTGAATTCGCATCCAAAACTGTGTGATAACTTTGACCTGTATAGCTGTTACTGAACCAACGTCTGTTACAGTAACTATATTTTCATTTATGGAAAAAAAATATTATCCGTGTGCAGATTTATGTCTTAGAAAACTGTATGGACTATTTACTTCTCTTTAGTATACTGTTGTTTTCTATTTAAAGAATAATACAAAGAAATATGCTTTAGTTAGACAATAACGAATAATTAGAAAATCGCACTAGAGCAATAGAATATAAATTTTTATCTGATGTAGCTAAACAATTTCAGCATATAGAACTAACTGAAAGTAAAAGTTACTTTTGTAATAATTACAAAAATACTTCAGTGCTTTGGCCATGAATAAACAGCATTGTTTTTAAATGGGAAAAAAAGTTGTTAGAGCTCTTTTTTGTTTTTTGGTTGTGGTTTTTTTTTTTTTTTTTGTTAGAGCTCTTTTTGGGGTTTGTTTTTTCATTTCTTTTCCCGTTTAAATTTCTGGTTTTAAAATCTTTTCTCTCTGTATCTCTGTCTGGGCATCTTTACTTGTGCCTTAAAATTAGGATCATAACATCTTGCTGTTAGCAGCTAGCAAAATTTACCATTGACTAAGAAGAAATTTTACTTTATTACAGAGTACCAAGCTGTTTTCCCTGACTAGTGAATGCTGTTTCAAATTGACTCTTTTATGAGGTTTCCACATATTATGACTTTCATTTTATGGCGTTTAATCTTCAGAAGGATGGGCACCATCCATAGGGTTACGTCTAAATTTGAGTTTTCTCAAAGTATAAAACAGGTCAGCAGTGCAAGAGTAAGATTACTCTTGGTAATTGCGTGCTTGCATTTTCTGTTTGGAACCACCTCAGTTGAGGAACTGGAATGCATGCGCCCAAGTACCCTAAGGTTTACATACAGTGTGTGTATAAATAGTTGTTAGGATGGTGGGAAATTTTAAGAAAAAGCTGGATAAGGACTGGGGAACAATAATAGTGGTAGTCCTGTAGGTATTTTCCTTATATAGTGTAATTTAGTGACAGGAGGTTTCATAGGTACTACGTATTGCTGAAAAGTAGTAGCCCTTTGCTACAGCAGACTGCTTACATAATGGTGTACTTGTTATGTAAAGAAGATAACTCCTAGTTGATACTAGCAGTACTGTTAATATTTCATCAAAATAGTTCATGAGTAGTAAGTAAGGGCGTTAACTGCTAAAGATGGAAGTTATCTACAGAATAAATAACAGTAACTAATAGGTTTTTATTGTATAAAGAATTTTTTTCTGGGTTTGTAGTCATTTTCTGCTCTTGAAGTGGGTAACAAAATGGCCTTTTAAGAAAAAGAGTATTTACAAAAAATAATGTCCTCTTGCTCTCACTAGTCAGAATTCAAAACACAGAATAATCTGTTCAGCCTTGTAATTCTAAAAAGAGTTGTCTGATTGAACCCCAATATTTAGTATTCCTGTGATGGTATATTAGTTTAAGGATTTCCTAGGTAAACTTACTGCAATCCATGTGGAAAAATTTTGAAGTTCACATTTGTTGTGACATCATTTTTATAATTTATAATGGGAATATTCTAACACTTAAGCATTATTTGAATATGAAAGAAGAATGAGGCCTTGATCTCATCCAATTCCTTTCTTGCTTCTTGATCTTTGATACTGCTGTTGGCACAGTTATACTAGTGCTGATTTGGATCTTCCAAAGACTGAATAAAATTAGATTGCGTGATCTGCATGTGGGTGAATCTTCATTCCAATTAAACTTTTGGCCTATGGTATAAACTAGTTAATAGTAGCCTCAAATTGAAAGTTGGAGGCTTTTGTTCTCATTATTTTTAAGGCTTTTATGTAAATAAAATCCCTTTTTATTAGCTTTTTGAGGTAATTTAATGTTAATTTTGTATGAAGGCTAGCACAGACTCTGCTAATGCAGTGTACTATAGCTGAGATACCTACTGGACTTCACCATAATCCTGTCCCAGAGTACTTTAAACAATTCCCATTCTGATCCTCACTTGTGCAATTATTAATTGAGCAGAATTCTGAAATAATTTCATAGTTTGCAGAAATAAGAAGCAGGGTGAAACTATTAATACAGTTTCATAAAGTGTTTTCCAACTTTAAGTTGTAGGCTTTTCGGAACTCCTTACAGTCAATCATTACGAATTTAAAGTAGTTTAAAGACCAGAGCAAAAAGAGAAAATTTTAACTGTATTTGTCATATTTTTGTTTTAGCAATGTCTCTCTCCCTATGCAAAGATGGCTGTGAAAAATATGGAAGGGAAGCAAAACTCTAGACAAACTTCTATTTGCCCATAACATCTGCCTGCAATCAGCGTTGGTATCGAGAAGGTCAAGACTTCAGGATTGTTCTACACATCAAACAAAATCAGTTCAGAGCTGTGATGGAGTATCAGACATATAGACAGCTACAAATCAAGAGGTACAGACAATTTCTCTCTTATATCAGCATCCAAGAGAAACAGAGCTGAAAGTGTTCTCACAGGTCAACTAAGGTAATCAAAGCTCTTCTGTTGCTTTTAATCATGACTGCTGCAGTTCAGTCACCTTGTAATGATGATTCAGTTGATATTCGAAGACAGACCTTGCTAATTTTTATTAAGATTTCTTGACCTAACAGTTTCACAGAGTATATATCCTTTTTAAAACCATATTGATTTCATCAAACATTTCTAAAAGACAAATAAAATCACAATAAACCAGGCATCCCAGTTTGCTTTACAAATTTTTAATAGATTTGACAATAGATAGTTAATATCCATCAAGTTGACTCTCTGTAAAGAAGAATGTGATTCTCCATAATTATTCCAAAATGAAATGATTCTGTCTGACTGCAAAATCCAAGAGAACAATTGAATTTTTCAGTGTACCATAAAGGTGACTAAAGTGAAGACCTGGTGAACAAAAGTGTATTTTAGTGTGTTTATTTAGATCTCCTCATCAAAAGCCTTTTGTTGTTAGTGTCTTCTGTTTTGAGTAGGTAAACTGTTGTAAACCGAGACAAACCTAGATGATTATAGTTATCATGGTGTCCCCTCATTTGTGTGCAGATATGACCTCAAATAGGATACAAACTGCTCTAAACTTCTTTTTTGTAAATATTTTCTGAAAGTGCCTTATCCAAACCTTTAAAGTATTTATAATTGCTAATTTGGTATGATAACACATATTTTAATATACTTGTTTCCTGGTGTATGAAAGTTTTAAACTGTAAAACCAAAAACCAAAAAAGAAAACATACAGTTACTTTTTAAGGAGGGGGGCATATTCTGGCTTTCTTATTTATATGGCTTAGTACTAAGTAGCTATGCTAATTCAATAGCGTGACTTGCTTTAGAAATGATAAAAAGAAGACAAAAAAGCTGGGATTCTTATGTGGTCATTTTGTCATTTAAGAAATGTGGAAACTGTAAAACGTGAGATTAGCTACGTGCTGTTGTGGTTTAGGTGAAGTATCAGTTCAGTGCTAACTGAAAAATTTCGAAGGTTTTTCATGGGAGAGTAATTCAAATCTTAGGTCTTAAACCAGTTCTGTATGGGAACCTCTTGCTGCAGACTAGGATGGAGACTGTGTGTCACAAATGCTCTTGCTAAAGTGTGACATTTTGTTATAGATTCCCTTCTTATTTTTTTCTTTTTTTACAAACAGTCTTACTGTGGTATTATTCAGCAATTGTTTGTGGTACGAGCATTTTTAAATAGTATTATGATTTTTTAATTGAATATTAGTTTATTTAATTTTATTCTGGCAGCTGCATTGAATATATTTTGCTATCTGGGCAACAGAAACAATTAACAATAAGCCCCACTCTGCAGTCACTCTACAGGCATAATTGCTGTCAATTTGATTGAAATTTTGCCTGAGAAGACTGTCATCAGTTCTCACTTTTTAAACTAGAAGCAATAACCTACCTAGTATGCACTGAAAGCATTCGTTAATGACAAGTTTTCTCAGAATCAACTATTTTTTTTTCTGTATTTATTTGTGCTGATAGATTTTGAAAACTACTTTTTAAATTGTGATTTATTTTCTTGTGAAATCTCAAGATGTTTAATAAAAGGACTGCATACTGCAATTAAGCTACTACTTTCCAAATTTCTAGAAGTTCTGAATAAACTCAGTTTGGGATACATTAAGTCTATTTTGCTTATAACAGTGCAATTTCTCTGTATTTTCTGTATTTGTAACATAGGTTGTGTGAACTAAATTCTTAGTGAGTTTAGTTTTGTGATGAATTTTAATTGTGTGAATTAAAACATTCAGTTTGTCTTTTCACACAATTATTATAAAAGTCCTAAAAAAAAGTAGGAAAAAAAAAAAGACAAGACATATCTTGGATTGTTTTCTTTAATATCCTAAACTGGATTTATTTCAGCAGCATTAACTGCGCTCTCTGTTTCAAAACTCTGGCATGTCCAGAGGGCGTTTGAAGTATCCAAAGTTATTAAACTGCAGCCAAGTGTAATCAAAGTCATAGCTTACAAAAATGGCACAAGAAGATCTTTGCTAAAGTTTCTGTGTCCTTAATTAAGCCAGTAACATCTAATAGAAGTTTTCTTGCGTGCATGAAGTTTGTCTGTAACTTTTGCTTCAAACCCTGATGTAAATCCTTTTTTCTTTTAAAATAAGCTTATATGAAACCTTTATTCATATGTACACTATTCCTAAAGTGTGACTTGTTAAAAATTCTAATAAACACCGAGTGAAATAAGTTACAGAATAACGTACCATACTATTTGATTTGGCATTAAAAGGCAAGAGGATAATACTTTTAAACCAATCTTTTTAAGGTTATGTGTTATTCTCAGCCTATGATTTCTAATAATAATCAGTAAAATACTAAATGACTTGTGGTGCAGTTGCTATGATTGGTAAATCAGTTGAGAGAGGATTTTTTATTTTTTCTGACTAAATATTGATTATAAAATAAATATGTTTATAATCAGTATTCCTTACCTCTTGCATTCATTTAGCTGCTGGAGGACTGCTCTGAAAAGCTGAATCTGAACATGGCTGCACGATGAGTGTTCTTGGCAGACGGCACTGAAGCACTAGAACCTAAAGACATACCCCATGATGCCGATGTTTATATTTCAACTGGAGAGACCTTTTTATATCCATTCAAAAAAATAAAAGGTGAAAAAAACAAACCCAAATCCGAGAACCCCTAGCAAATGGCTTAAGGGGTGCAATTAAAAATTATTTTCATCCTGTCTTTTTGCATGGTTTAACAAAACTAATGTTTACTCATTTACAGCTCAGTAAGAGGATAATGTGCTTAATGAAAGAAAAATCTACTGACAGCCACGTTTATTGCCCTTCATTAGCATTGGTACTTAATTTAATATAGATCTGAATAGACATTAGGGAGCCTGCAGGAGGTTAAATGGTGAAAATGTAAAGAGATTATTGAATTTACTGTTTAGTTTCAGTGACATCAAACAGACATAATTAATTAGTCTTATTCCACTAGCAAAAATAATCCACAATGTAGGATTGGATTAATTAATGTAATTGTTTAAAAATTTTGGAAAGTTTTATACAGCAGTATGGAATATCTGCTTTACTGTGCTTTACTAATTTTAGATTTTTTCTTCTCATTCCTTTACCAATCTTGTAATTATTTTTTTTCTTACAAGGAAGGAAATCTGTTTCTGAATCCTTTAAAGTTTAAACATGAATGTGTTTCTTTCAGTCATATTTTACATTGTGAGATTTCTGCAGCAAATTTATCATAACATTAGCTTAAGTAGGGTTCAGTATCAAATTCAAGATACCAATTGGGTATTTTATTAAACTATTAATGTAAACCGATAAAGAACTTTTAATTGATATAAGCTAATGTATTATAAAAAGCAAAATTATTATTAGGATAGTGTCTGTGTAGGTAGGAATTTACAATTCCAGTGTGCAATTCCAATGAGAAATGCAAATAAGATAAATTGTTTAACATTATTTGAAACATTCCAATTTGTATAATCTTTTAATAGTAAAATGTATGATACATTTTTTAAAAATATAGGGATACTAAAGAAGAAAAACAAAAGACAAATCATTCAACTAGTAGGTGTATTTTATATATATGTTGTATGTAATTTTTATATATATTTCCTTCCATTTTTGGGCTTTTTTTTTTTTCTTATGTGCTTTCTTTAGAAACAAACCTTTGGTTTTGTTTTTCTACATAGTTTTTAAATAGCATTTTTTATCTTTGGAAGTATTGGGAGACATACTTTAGTGTTAAATCTTTCATTCTGAATTTCAAAATGTCTGAACAGTCTTCCACTAACTCTTCTATACATTGATATTGCTTAGTACAAATACATTTCAAGAAGATATCTATGTAGTACTCATTACTGGCTATTTGCCTAAGAAAATGACTACTACATAGCTCTATAAACCTCAAAATCTAATATTAATTAGTAGAACCTTTATGATGTATTAAAGTAATGTAATTCAAGTTATGTTTACATATTCGTGGGCGTATGAATGAAGGAAACTTGTGTTAGTAAGCCTATGTCTTACATAATTAGTTTTATATTTAGTAAGCTGTTGTTGATAGCATAAAAATTATTCTGAGTATGATACAGGTGATCCATTCACTAGAATGGCTACAATGAATGGCCTATGTATTCAGTACAAGGCACAAATCTTTGTATTTATTCTTGCAAAAGTGTACGATAAAACTGCTATTTGTACTGCATGAATCATTGAAACAATCCTATTACTGCAGTATTTTTATATATAATTTATTACAAGCTCTTCACTGGTACTTGTATTTTCTTCATGCATATGACTCGAGTGTTATGATAGATTTTCAAATTCATTAAGCAAGTCTTTTTTTCTTTCTCTCATTTTCCTCTTGCAAGCCAAGTTCAAAACAAAAACTTCTGTGCTTTGTCTGCATATCTTTGGCTGTGTTTCATTGTGACATGCACTGCTGTTCTTTTAGCACCAAAATGTTGGCACACATTACTGAAAATTTCACACCATCTCTTGCTGGATCAGCAAGCTTAACCTACCAAAATCTGGTGTTGTTGAGTGGTTTTTTGACTGATAATCAATCTTTTTGCTGCTCGACAGTTGTTGCTGGGACACAGACTAGAGCAGGTGGCAGATGTGCCTTGTCTTTTGAGAAAAGAAAGAGTAGGTGAGCTTGGGCACAGAGTAACATATTGTGTGTCCATTAAAAGGGTAAGTATAACAGGGAAAAGTCACTGCTATAAGTAGAAAAGCCACCAATACCAGAAAATAGGCCTTTTTACACCCCTGTTTACAAGTTTAGTAGAACTGGGAAATGACAGTTAATAGTATAGAATTCACTGTGCTCAAAAACTGATGTTAAAAACATTTATAAATTCTTTGTATAACATTCCATAGTACTTTTTTTGCCTATTTTTTAATTTTTACATAGCATGAATGACAATGTACATGTTTTAAAAAAGCTACAATATATTGAAGGTAGGTTTTAGAGAGGTATAAAGATATAGACAGTACGTATTTTATATTTTCTTTCTCTAGCCCACAACTGGGCAGAGAGCATAGAGTGGTATGACTTGTCATTATAAACATACTGACTGCTGCATTTGAGTCCTTAACGCCTAGATAACAAGGTCAAATGTCAGTAGCAAATCTTTTTTGCATGGGAATGGAAGATCAGTGATATACTGTAAAGCCATAACTCTGCAAATATGTACAAGTGACCTCATGGAAATTAGAGAGCCTTTTACATATGTAGTTACACATAAATATCTACAAGATTAGCACCTTTGTGGAAATCTGTATTTCAAGTACTACATAAATCACAAAGTCCGTCAGAATTGTATCATCTTGCATATACTTTCGTTGCTTCAAGTGGTATAAATACCTCGATAAAATATAATTCCCAGTGATGTTAATGTCTTGGTTTATTTGGATTTATTCACCTTCTCGTCTTTCTGACATACTAAATTTAAATTGGGATTTGGATTAAGTGAATAAGGATTCAAACAAATTGACAAATTGCATGATCTGGGATAAAAATTGAAAGCCTTTTATTCTCTTAATTTAATTCAGTGTTTATAATAAATACATGTGACATATCAGTTATAAGGTGCCATTCCAACAGAAGTCTAGTAGACAAAAACATATCAAGTCTCAAGCATTTAAAACATATTTTTGGTGGACTATTGTGGGACTAGTGTGTTGCAGAACTATGCCAAAGAGTTAATGCTCTGTAGTATGTTGTTCTTCCATGTAATTTGGTGATGGTCGATGGTCATATTTACTTCATTGCTCATTGGAAATGTATGAGATACCACATACTTCAGTGTTTGTTTGCAGACACATATATTTAGCAGTTACTGAATTTCAAAATATATTGGATGTTCTTATTTATTCTTTTTAACACCTCATAATTCTCCTGTCAGCTTTTATTGTATCCCCACACCTCTTTGCAGTTGAGTTTCAGGTGTCTCCAGGGTACTGCTTCATTTTTTCTTCATTAGTTACCAGTTTCTTGAACAAAGAAATTAGTACCAGTTTAATTTAATTCCAGTGACATTAGCAACCTTGCCTTATAAAATAATTAATTGGCTATTACTCCTTCATAAAAAGTTTGTGCATTTTATCAGTCATGCTATTGTGGAAAACATGGCTTCTTCTAAACTCCATCTTCCATTCAGTAGTTTTTCAGTTTCTGTGTTTGCCATTTACCTTGATCTGGCTTCAGAGTTACTAAGTTGGAGACAAAGGAGCTTTGGCTGATCAGTCAGTTGTGGGCTTAGACTGCAATCCAAACCCAATTATGCTCAGGTCTAATTCACTGTACTGCTGAGAGCAGCATCAGTGATTTCTGCAGAGTAGTGAAGCTAAGCATTTATACAGATATATGACTGACTACTTACTAGAGCTCCACTGACTATAATGGCAACCAAGATGTCTAGCTCACATACAGAGAATTTACAAGTAGACACCTAATTTAGCTGTGTTGATCTTAAACTGAATCACTTCCTAAAGACAGCATTTTGGCCAAGATGCTGCTGTTGATTTGCCATGTTTGCATATTTTTGGTAAGTCATACCAACAAGGATTCCTTGCATGGAGCATGGTCCACTTTGCTGGTCACATAGGTGCTCCTTCTAATTAATACATCTTATTACCTGGGTACAGTGAATTGTTTATGACCTACCTCCAGCTCTCGTTCTGTGGATCACTATAGTAAAAGAACACTAGATAACGAAACAATTAGTGTATAAATGTTCGCTTTCTTAACTACCTAGCCAAAATGTCTGTACTCTTGCATTCAGTTATGTTTGTAGGCTGTATATGTTTCCAATACTATGTGTTAAAAGGAAAACTAAAAATAATGAATAAGATTTTATGTCTTTTATTAATGCACTGTGACAAGGAGGCCGTGAGAAAAAGTAATGCATGTTTAATGTTCTTGATGCTGCATTTCAGGTCTGTATTTAAATGAAGAGATAAAGATTTTCTTGTTTAATAACATTTAGATGTCATGTGAGCTACAAAACAAAATAATTTACCAAGTCAGGTGCCAATTGACAAGAATGTGTGTGAATATATTTAAAATAGGACATCTTTTCTACAAGGAGTATGTGTCAGTGAAATGATGGATTCTTACTATTCTAACTATTGACTGGTTTGGAAATGTTTCAATTCCAAGCGGCATTCTAAATAATACAGGGCTTTTTCTCATCAACACATAAAAATGAAAGTTGTCACATTTTGTTTTTCAGAAAAAATGCATCTGTTCTATGAACTTGAACTTAGTACATTTTATTGCAATTTTTCCTGTAATTACTGTATTATATGTTATTATTTCAGTGCATTTGTACTGGAATTTTGATCTGAAAAAGGAATACACTATAACAAATATTCATAAAATATGCAGAAATACATATCTCATCATATATTATGAACTTATCCATCTTATAAAATAGGTTGAAGATCTCAAGATATACAACAGAAAGTTGTTTTAAGCTGTAGAATCATCATATATCAAAATAGAATTCAATACTTAGAAAATAGCTTGATGATACCCTGAAAGTTAGAATGACAAAGATCTGGTCTTTGAGGGGGATGTCAGTAAAACCTAGATTATATTTTGTTTTAAGGATTTCTGACAGAAAATTCAT